CGTCGTAAAACGGGCCCGACCATTGCAGAAATGCGCAGATGTCTCTGCTGGAAAGCCTCCAGCCCAAACCCCGCCGGGTCTTGGGCTGGGCGCATGTGGGTCAGAGAGTCCCCTCTTCCATCGTTTCTCTCCCTTTTCGGAGAAAGTTCACGGAGGGGCGGGCGCCGGAAAATCAAAAATGGCCCAGATGCCTCCGGGAGGGCCTCGGAGATCCCATGATGACCGTCACCGTGGTTCAAAGCACCCTAGCACGGCTTCCACGGTGCTCTAAGATGCACGACAATCGCTCAACACACGGGTCCGAGTGGCCTCTGGGCGCCCCCCGCAGGATCAGCATCTCCCCCACGCCCAGATTTGTTGCTCGCGAGTAGGTGGCCTGGGGCCGCATGGGCCGCGGCGGGGCGGGGGTGCGGGGGGCTGTCGAGACGGAGGAGGCGCCGGGCATCCACCGGCCGCTCGGGAACGTGGCGGGCGTCGAGCCTGCCCACTTGGCGTCGTCGTGCGCCCATGGGCCGATGCCGTCCGAGCACCGGGCTTGGCCTGGTGCGTCATGGCCCCCTGTGCGCCAGATGGACTTTGCCGGAGCGTCGCATGCTCAGCAACGAGGCTGCGCCCGGTCTGCGGATGGCCTCCACCTTGCTTTTCCGGGGAGCCATTGGCAAGGATCTTCAAGATGTGGTAGGCGGCCGCGAAGTTGGAAGCGCGCGCAGCAAAACGCCTCATTCGAAGCCTTCCCCAGGCGCCCACCTCCTCCTGGCGCTAGCTGCACGCGTCCACTGCCTGTGGTGACTGGTGCTCTGAAACGCCGATGTGCTGACGTGGATGGCCCTGCCGAGGAGCTCTGGCCTGGGGGGGGCGCTGCTGGGCCACTTGCGCTCGGATGATCAGTGCTGCTCTGGCGCACGTGACAATGCTGGTGCGTTGTCTGCGGGCCTGATCGCGGTCGCGTTGTGCTCTGGCCCACCAGACTGCGCTTTGCCAGAGGCGTGCCGCCTTGGCCGGGGCGGGGAGAGGCCCCCATGCGTCCTGTCGCACGTGCGCCAGGGCTGCGACCGCATTGGCACTGGCAAGGGGGCACTTAAGACACCGTGGCGCCTGGAAGCAGGGCCCAGCACCTGTGGGGACGTAGGCGGGTATCTTTTTCTGCCTGGAGGTGCCACGGGCCACGCGGCACTGAGCAAGTAAGTCAACGACTGCCGCTGTGTTAGGCAAGGCATAGTGCGCTGGGTAGGGGATGACAGATGCGATGTGGGCGCTCCTGGCAGCAGCGCGTGTTCCCAGGGACGGGCGTGCCTGCTGCAGGAGAAGCGCCCTGGCCCGTATCTTGCTTAGGGCCTTGGTCCAGGTGCCGGTAGTGAGGCTCTGGTAGCAGTCGGAGTCCACATGTCCTTGGGAAGGGGGGGCGGGGGCTGGAGGTCCTCGTGGAGATGGTGGTCCCGAGGTACGGGTATTATGTGTTGACCCAGGAGCTCCCAAGTGGGGTGGCGTCCATGGCGCCTTTCCAGCAGGCCGATGCAGCGCCCAGGACCAGGGCGGTTTTGAACGAGCAGGTGTATGGCTGCTGCCATTTTTGCATGTCTTGAATTGCAGTCTCCCCGAGGTCCGCCCAGATGGTATCCCTGCTCAGGCCGAGGGCCAGACCTGTGACCACGGTAAGCCCGCAGGGTGCCTGTGAGGCGGAGAGGGGGGTGGACGCGAGGGTGCGGTGCAGCCCTGGGGGAGGACGTGGGAAGGCCACGCCTCTGCAGGTGTGTGAGGCAACCAGCAGCCCGGCGGCCCTGGAGGCCCACGGCAACATGATAGACGCACGTCTGGTCTGCTCGGGCGAATCGAGGATACTGGCCAAGTCATCCACGTAGGCAGGGCAGCGGCCAGCTGCCGCCCCAGAGGAAGTTACAATGATGGGGCCGTAGGCTATGCACCACGAGGAGGGGTGACGCACACACACACAGACACACACACACGCACACACACAACCGCCCACCCGCCCACCCACCCACCCACACAAACGCACACACAGACACAGAGACACAGAGACACAGAGACACACAACACACACCAGACACAGACACAGACACACACACACACACACACACACACGCACACACACGCACACACACGCACACACACACGCACACACGCACACACACACACACCCGCCCACCGACCCACCCACCCACCCACACACGCACACACACAAACACACAGAGACACAGAGACACACAGACACACGCAGACACACACAGACACACACAGACACACACACACACACACACACACGCACAGACACACACACACACACGCACACACACACACACGCACACACACCACACACGCACACACAAAACACACACACACACATTTTGCGTCGGCGGCTGGGCAGAGGACAACTGCTCCGGCGGATTGGTAACAGGGGGCACGCTGTATGCAAATAGGCCGCAATGCACGGAAGGAGGAAGGGGGCACACGCACACATACACACACACGTACACACCCACACACACACACCCGCAAGCACGCACACACACACACACACGCAAACGCACACGCACACGCATACTCACACACACACGCACACACGCACACACGCACACGCACACGCGCACACCCACACGCACACGCCCCCGCCCCCGCCCCCCCCCCACCCATCCCCCCCCCACACCAACACAACACAACACAACACAACACAACACAACACAACACAACACAACACAACACAACACAACACAACACAACACAACACACAACAACAGCACAACACAACACACAACACACACACACAAACACGCACAAACGCAAACCACACACACCACCTCGCACCACGCACTTTGCACTTGCACTTGCACTTGCACCACGACGCCACGCACACACAATATATATATATATATATATATATATATATATATATATATATACATTATATATTCACACGTAAGTATGTACAAGACTGCAGAGGCGCTTCGCGCCATGCACCTTGGTCCTTCGAGTTTCCCGCCCGGGCGCGTGCACATGCGCGCGCGGATCTGTGCATGCATGTCATACGCGCGCACGTGCATGCACGCCAGGCGTGTATATATATGTATATGTATGCGTGTAAATACATACACATACGTGTTTTACCTGTGCGAGTATACTGATGTACGTGCCTATATCTATGTGTGTGTACAGTATACACAGCTGTACTCATGCCTGCGCGTACAGATGATTACAGATGTATCGTGTCTACTTGGGCAGTTCTATGCTTACACATGTTTATGTCTTATGTCTATATACATGTACGCGGTCGTGGCCACAGAAGGGGGGGGGCAGAAACGCAGTGTTGGGCTCCGAAAGACTTGGGTAGGAGACGGCATGGAGGACACGGCAGAATGTGGAACGGCGACCTGGGCTTCCCAATGACCGTGTCTTTGGGACTATGGAAGGAGCCGTGTGAGGGCTTTGGGGGGCCTCGGGACCGTGTCGCAGCGGGCTAGACGCTGACGCTGTTCTGCGCGGCCTTACGCTCTTGGGAGGCCTCGCGTTCAGAATGCTAACGTCACGTGGACCTGGTTGGAGCCTCCCGGAGCCCTCTGAGGGGCTCTGTGGGACGTCGTGCAGTTCCGTGATGGCTTGGGCCTCTTCGGGGCCTCTTGGGAACCTCGTGGGCCATCTTGGAGCGTCGGGAAGCCGAAAAGGGAGAACTCAACAATCCCCCCCAAACCAATGGACAATCAACGACTTTTGCCTCGTGGTGCCCTCTTGGGAGTGCTCTTGGAGGCCTCTTCGGACGTTTTGGAGCGATCTCGAACTTCTGTGGGGTCCTTGTGGGATCTTTTGGAACTCTTGGGCGCCTCTTGGTGCTTCCTGGGGCCTCTTGTGGGCCTCTTCGGGGCCTCTTGGATGCCTCCTGGGGCCCTGTCGGGACTGTCTGGGGGTCCTCTTGGGCCGGTTTGGGCCCTTTTGGAGGTCCGTCGGGCCATCTGAGGGCGATCTTGGGGTCCTCGTGGGCCGTCTTGGAGCGTCGGAAAGCCGAAGAGGGTAGAACCCACACATCCCCCACAAACCAACAGACATTCAATGATTTTCGTCTCGTGGGGCCCTCTTGGGGGTGCTCTTGGAAGCCTCTTCGGACGTTTTGGAGCGATCTCGAACTTCTGTGAAGTCCTTGCGGGATCTTGTGGGCTTCCTGGGGGCCTCTTGGGGCTTCCTGGGGGCCTCTTGGGGGCCTCTTCGGGGCCTCTTGGGAGCCTCCTGGGGCCTCCCGGGGCCCTGTCGGGACTGTTTCGGGGCCCTCTTGGGCTGGTTTGGGTCCCTCTTGGGGCCCTGTCGGGCCCCAACTTAGGGCGATCTTGGGGGCCTTCGTGGGCCGTATTGGAGCGTCGGAAAACCGAAGAGGGGAGAACCCAAACATTCCCCACAAACCAACGGAAAATCAATGAATTTGGCCTCTTGGGGCCCTCTCGGAAGTGCTCTTGGAGTTCTCTTGGGACGTTTGGGAGCGATCTTTGGGGGTATGACGGCTCCTTCGGGGTCGTCGTCGACCGTCTTGGGGCTCTGTGGCGTCGTTGCTAGAGCGCGCCAGAACGTCGGGGGCCCTCTGGGGCCGTCTTCGGGCTCTCGTGAGGTCCTCCCAGGACGTCCGGGGGGCTGCCCGAAAGGCCCGGGGTTGGCCAAATTCGTTCGGGGGAGGGGGGGGGGCTTTTTCCAGCGTCCCCGGCCCGAAGAAAATATATGAGGAGGAATTAATTTCTGTTCGCAGTGAGTTGTCCACTCCACTGCTCGCGCAAACATCCCACCCACCCACCCACCCGCAACTTGGTTTGCAACATCTCTTAAGACCGTGACGGTGGGTACCACATGGCACTTGGCAACAACAGCGACGCCGACGACGACAGCGACAACGACGATGACGACGCCGCCGACAACGACTACGACGACACCGACGACGTCTCCAATGAGGAGGAATATGCGCAGTGGGACGGGAGTGCGGCGGGGAGCGAGGGAAGAGGGCGGCAGGCTGCATGGCTGTACTCGCGGTAGCCGCTGTCGAAGAAGGCCTTGTAGTCCCTGGGGGGGCACGGGGGGTGGCGGAGAATTGGGTGGGCCTTCTCCTCTCGTCCTCCTCCTCCTCCTCCACCTTCCTCCTGTTCCTCCTCCTCCGCCTCCTCCGCCTCCTCCTGTTCCTCCCTCCTCCTTCTCCTCCCTTCCTCCTCCTGCTCCTCCACCTCCTCCTTATTCCTCCTGCGTATCCTCCGCAGCAGCAATTTTGGACAAGCAACGACTGTGGCTCTAAGTGCCCTGCTTCCAAAGTGGGCAAATCAACCCACCTTCGGTCACTCTCCACAGACAGGTGACCTCCCAAGCCAGGACCTGCCCCTGAGCAGGGCTGGACCTACGCGTTTTTGTTTGTCGTTTTGTTTTCGTTATGTTGTTTGTTTTGCTCTACCTATTTTCCTGTACCTTCCTGCCAACACGAAAACAAAAAACATTGCCAAGTTCAAACGAAACAACGTTTAGGTCCAGCCCTGCCCATGAGGCACACGTTCCGCCAGAGCGGCCAAACAACGACTCGGTGCGCTGAGCTTGCTGCCGCCAAGGTTTCCATGAGCGCCGCGGCCGTCGCCCCGTACTGGGCTACCCCCCTGCCAGCAGGGTGGCCTTCCCCCTTCGGCGGCGAGCGAGGGGGGGGAAGTGAGAATGAGAAGGTCTTCTCAGAAACCCTCGCGCCTTCTGAGAAATAATAACTGCCTCCGGGGAGGGCTCAAACAACTTCGCAGAAGGCCGGGGGACTCCCAATCTTCCTGAGGCTTTCTCCTTCTCACTTCAGGAGAACAAGCAATGACATCAGCACAAAAACTCGGAGGTCTGCGCGGATTTCTCGGATCAGCGCTGGACCCCCGTCCATGGCGCGCGGAGCGCGCCAGGGGCGGCGCCGGAGGCGCCGCCGGGGAGCCCCAACGCCGATCCGAGGAATCCGCGCGGACCTTCGAGTTTTTGTGTCTATGTCATTGTCTGTTCCCCTACACGTCGTTCATTTCTAATCGTGCTCATTTCTAATTGTGCTCGCTTCTAATTGTTTCTGGCCCCCTACTGGCCAGGAAGAGGCTCAGGATAGAAGAGTTAGAAGTGGAAGGATCCTGCCCCCCATCGAATCAAAGAACTTCCGAATACTTAGAAATGAACAACGTGTACACTTCCCCCCTTCGCTCGCCGCCGACGCCTCCCGCGGCCACCCGCGGAGCCGGCCAGCGAACACACTCCGCGCGCTACCCTCTGCAGGGTTCGGGCGGGCATGTCCTCCTACAGGCGATTTCGGGCGACAACTGGAAAACAATCAAATTACACCACAACAAACGGTTAGGTCGGGCATTGTCCTCCTGCAAGCGGATTTTGCGGCGAAAGATCACAATCAAATTACACCAAAGAAAAACCCCACTCAAGGGATGGTTTGAAATGGGGTCGGTAAAAAGAGATCGACAAAAACTCTGGGGACCCGGGAATCCACCGAAATCGGCCCTGGTTAACCAATAACCAAGAACCCGGGAACCTGGAACCGGGAGCCCGGAAACCCAGCCGGCCACCAAAATCGGCGGGAAGCTTTCGCCCAATTCTTCAATATTCGCCAGTGCACTGATTGGGGAGATAAATCGTGCCCATACAGTTTTTTTTTTGACTATTTCTGAATATTACTCCTGTGGAGGGGGGAGGAGGGGAAGGAGGAGGAGGAGAAGGAGGAAAAGGAGGGAGGAGGGAGGAGGGAGGTGGATAAGGAGGAGAAGGAGAAGGAGAAGGTGTTTTAGGAAAACAAGAACCAAACTCAGGACTGGGGAGAAAAATTGTGCCACACTGTTTTGGGGCATTTTTTTGTATGTCCGGCAAAGCGCTGGTTCATCCCCTCCCGAGAGCGCCCGTTTCGAGGCGACGTGCTGCAGTAACGACCGAATCGATGGATCACGCAAGAAAAGCGGCCAGATAGACAAGGGTAAACGAGAGAGGTGTGATGCGAGAGATCGAGACAGAAAGAGAGAGAGAGAGAGAGAGAGTGAAAGAAAAGAGAGAGAGAGAAAGAGAGAGAGAGAGAGAGAAAGAAAAAAACAAACAAAGAGAGAGAGAGAGAGAACTGAGAGAAGTCGGGTGAGCAGCCAGCACCGCGCGCCACACAACCGCAGCCCTGTGGCGCGCGACGCCTCTTCCCCAAGGAGCGGCAGTTCCAGCTGGCGGAATGCAAAATGCGCACCAGGCTGCTGGAGCAGAGGCATTCTGGGAGGGGAGAAATTTCTCCAAGACCCAACCACAGCCTCAACCAACAAATGCCACAACGACTCCTGCCGAGTAACGCGGCTAGCCTGGTCTCCCCCACCACCACCACCAATCCAGAGGAACGAGGATTGTGGGCACTGTTTTGGGGCATTTTTTGCAAATTCCTCCTGTGGAAGGGACGTGCCCGACGTGACCTCAGAGGCGCGGGCCCCGGGGAGCGCCTGGGCTTTTTCCTGGACGCACGGCCAGCCTCGGCCACGATTATGCAACAAGGGCTCGGCCACGAGAAGCCTTCCTCAAGGAGGAGGAGGAGGAATAATACAAACAAAAACATTAATGATAAGAAGAAGAATAACAATAATGCGAATCATATGACTCGTACAAATAAACGAACCAATCAAACACATAATGCTCATGCGAACCGTACTGACAGCAATTCTACGAAGCAATACACATGTCACTAACACTGCCAACGATAACCGTGAGAAGAAGACCACACGAAACCTTCCTCGAAAGACCCTCCTCGAAAAAGGCCTCCTCCTTCCCGCCCTCCCCCCCTCGCTCGTACGCCGACGACTCTGGGGGGTCCGACGACTCTGAGGGGGTCCGGCGCCTCCCCCCCCCCTCCGCCGGGCCGCCGAAGAAGCCCCTTCTCGCCTCCCCCCCCGCTCGCACGCCGACGGCTCTGCGGGGTCCGGCGCCCCCCCCCCCTCCGCCGGGCCGCCGAGGGAGCCCCTTGCGCCGCGGGCCCCTGGGCCCCCGCTGGAAGGACGCCCCGCGGCGGGCGGAGCCCTCCGCCCTCCGGGGCCGGGGCCCAACCGCGGCCCTCTGTTGCACTGTTGCGCTGCTGTGTCACAAGTCCACTCTAGGAGCAGAGAGCGACAAAAATATATGGACGGGAGGCTAAGGCGACGCTTACGGAGAAGAAGGAAGGCCGAGACAGAGGGAGGAAAGAGGGACAGAGGATAATAAGCGCCGCCGAAGCCCCAAATCCAAAACCCCGCCTAGGCTGGACCCAGGACAGGGGGTTCATTGCTGCTGGCAGTCGGCCTGTCTCTCTGGAAAGGCCTCATGTGCCGATCGGGTCGGGCCGCCTGGGCGAACCGCCTCCCTGGGCGGGCACTGCCGGGCCCCAGACCGACCGTCGTCGTACCCCCCCCCCCCCGCTCCTCTTCCCCGAGCCCCAATCCTCGAGACGCGACTCTGCTGCAGCGATCGTGCCTGATGGAAGGACGGGGGTGGGTGAGGGGAGGGAGGATGCAAATGTAGAAAGGGAGGGGGGGCGGGGAGGCAGCCTCCAACCGAAAACCTGTCCCTTCTGCTCTGCGCTCTGCAGTGCACAGCTTCGGCCGCCTGTCGGCCCTGGCCGAGGAGCTGGCGAGCAGAGGCCCTGTCGTGGCGAACGGCTGGCGAGAGCGGACGCCGCCTCGGCACGTCGTCGCCGTCGTCGTAGTCGTCTCACCCCATCCCCTTCCCATGCCCACCCCATCAAAGAAATCGACAGGCTGTCAAGAGCAAGCCTGTTCTTACATTCCTGAGGAGGGCGAGGAGGGGGAGGTCGGAGACCCTCAGCAGCTAAAGCGCGACCTTACATTTCGCTGTTTAGAGGCTCGGGGTGGGAGGTGCTGCTACCTGCCCACTGCGGAGAGAGCCCGTAAGGCCTAAACCGCCGGGTAGTTCTCGCGGAACTTCTCCCAGTCGATGGCGTGGCCGTTTGCGATCGCCAGCTTCGCAACTAGGTCGTGCACAGCCTTCTCCGCCTCAGGCGAGGAGGCGTCCAGGTGCTGGAGAGAAGCCACCTGCTCCGCCAAAAAGCCTGTCTCCCCCAATCTGTCTGTGTACTCCTTGGCCCACAGCGCCGTGTCAGCCGCGGTCTCCTCCATGCTGCTGAAGGAGTCGTTCTGCGCTTCGTCGGCGCTCTGGCCCGACTTGTCGTCAGCAGCCAAATCGAAAAACTCTGTGTGGGAGGTCTCCGCGGGTGCCGTGGTGCGAGAAACGATCCCTGCAGAGTGCGCCAATTCGTCTGCCAGCACGGCCGCATAGGCCCATTGGCCCAGAGGCGAGGTGAGGGCGCACTCGTAGCACAGGGCATCCGTCTGCGTAGCAGATCTGTTGGGGTTCGGAGGAACCGCTTCACGCTGCTCTTCTTGCTCATCACGTTCCTCCGCTGGACAACCAAGGTCAGAGGCAGACGGGTCGTTCTCAGGTGAAGATGTTGAAGCCGATGTAATACTGGGCGCCGAAACAGGCGTGGAAGCAGGCTGCGAGCCATCTGGAGCGGCCCTGCCACGCCTCTTCTGCTTCTGCTTCGCTTCTCTGCCGGACTTTGGCAGTGCTCCCTCGCCAGCTCCAAGGCTATTGTGCGAGGCGCAGTTGCGGAAAGCTTTGGTGGACCCGTCGAGGTTTGCTCGCACCCCTTGCCGCCCAGCTCGAACGAAGCCTTCCAAAGCAGGACGGGCCATGTCGAACCGAGCGTCGACCTCCGCCTTGATATCGGAGTCGCTGGTGTCGAGCGTGGCTGTGTCGGCCGCCTCGCAGCTCAGGATGAGACGCCAAAAAAGCGGCTGCGGTCGCTGCCACGACATGGCGGCTCGCTCCCGCCCGCACGATGGCCCCCAAGAGGTTGCAAGCAACAGCTTCGCCTTCCGTCACGGGCCCGGACATGGATGTATACGGAACGCGGTATACCGTGCCACTCAAGATTCCAATATGCGAAAGAACGTGCACAGCAAAATTCGTTCTGTATCGGAAACAGCTTGAGCCAAAATGGCTTGAGCCAAAATGGCTACGGAACAACCGCGGCCCTCCTCCTCCTCCTCCCCCTCCTCTCCTCCTCCCCTCCTCCTCCCCCCTCCCCTCCCCCCCCCCTCCCCCTCCTCCTCCTCCCCCCTTTCCTCCTCCTCCCCTCCTCCAGCTCCTCCTCCTCCTCCTCCTCCTCCTCCTCCTCCTCTCCGAGGTGCTGGCGAGGAGCAGCCGCAAGCGGGCGACCCGCCAAAAACGCGAAAACGGGAAAACCCGCGACCAAAAACGCGAAAACGGGAAAACCCGTAAAGTCGTAAACCCGACGGCTTTCGCGTAAAATAACGCTTTTCCCGCAATGGCCGATGTGCGCGAAAACGGGAAAACCCGTAAAGTCGTAAACCGGGCGGTTTTCGCGTACAGTAGCGGTTTCCCCGCACTGGCCAATTTGCGCGGAAACGGCCCCAGCGTTAAACGCATAACGAGCCACGTGCTGGTTTACGACTTTGCGAATTTACGCGATTACCGAGCGGGCGGAGGCCAGGGCCGCGGAGGAAAGGAGGAGGTGGGGGAGGAGGAGGAGGAGGAGGAGGAGGAGGAGGAGGAGGAGGAGGAGGAGGAAGAGGAGGAGGAGGAGGAGGGGGAGGAGGAGGAGGCGGAGGAGGACAAGGAGGAGCAAGAGAAGGAAGAGACTAATTTAGGACCCCCCTCTTTTGAGCCACGAGGCCCAAAACAGCCCCAAGAGACCTCTCTGACCCCCCCAAAAGAGCCCCAAGATTGCCCCAAGAGGGCCCCAAGAGGGCCCCAAGAGGGCACCAAGAGGACCCCAAGAGGACCCCAAGAAAACTCTAAGATGGCTACAAGAGACCTCCTAGAACCTCTCACAACAACACCTCAACTCGCCTGGGCATCGTTGCTGGATGGGCTGGTGGGGATACGCGAAGCGTCAAGAATTAACTCCCCTCCCCTTGCTGAATTAACCCAGCCTCCCCATATCCTGCAATTGACGCTCTCCTCCAGCCCGTCCCCTTCCGGAGTTGAAGCAGAATCCCCGCTGAGTTAACTCCTTCCCCTTCCTGCGTTGACTCCGCTACCCTTCTCTGGATTCCTGCGAACATCCTGCTAGGGGGAGGAGGCAACAGGGGGGGAGGAGGAGGAGAGTGAGGAGGGAGGACGGGAATATGTATATGAGCGAATCTGATCGAGGAAGGGGAGGGGGCAATGGAGGAACCGGGAGAGGACGAGGAGGACGAGGATGATGGCGATGAGGATGATGTAGGGTACGGCGTTGGCATGGGTCTCCGCTGTAGATCTGAGGAACGACCCGAAAACCAGGGTTCCTCCAGGACCCAGAGTGGTCCCTGTCTTAGCGTCTTGGCCGTGCTTTGCTCTCCACACGCTCGGTGGTGATGCAGCGCTTGGCCCACGACCCCCGCAACTCCTGCAGAGTGTGAATAGCTCGACCTGCTGGAGCAGCAGGTGATATGAACATAGCTTTGAAACGTCCGCTCGGATTTCTCTGCTCGGCGCTGGATCCCTCTCCCCACGAGCGCTCCCAAGAGCGCGGAGCGCGCCGAGGGCAGAGCCAGAGGCGCCGCCAGCTTCGGGAGGGGGGTGTCCGGATGTGTATAATCGTGTTACTTGCTCCTGTTATTTCGGCAATCGGAAGTTGGGGGGTGAGATCGCAGTGGAACGGAGAGCCCCCCACCGGGAAATCGGTCTCGGTTTCGTGTTCGTGTTCGTGTTCGTGTCGTGCGTGCGGGCGAGGCGAAGCTGCGTGGGCGCGCGAGAGGAATGGCCCCGCCGTCGCTAGGGCGATTCGGATTCAGTGGACCGCCCCTCCGCCCCCAGTGGGCGCGGGGTGGCCCAAGGTGTCCCGCCGTGGTGTCCTGCGGTGCCCCATTGGTGTCCCGTTGGTGTCCCGCCGGGCGGTGGCTGGGGGTGTCCCGCCTTGGTATCGACAGTGAAGTCGATACTGAGATCGATCATGAGATCGCTAGAATGGGATGGACAATGAGATCAAACATAAGATTGTCAATGAGGTTGATTGTAACATTGGTTGTGAGACCAGTAGTGAGATCGATAGAGGCATCGATGCTGAGATCGATGGTGAGATCGATAGTGAAATCGAAAGCGATAGATGTAGTGAGATCTATAGTGAGATCGATAGTGGCATCTATGGTGAATTCGGTCGAGTGTGATCGCTCCTGTGAGGTCGATAGTAGGATCGATCGAGTGAGACCGAAAGCGGGGACGTCAGTGACATTACATCGCAGCGCAGCATCGTCATCATGCGTCGTCGCTAACTCGAGGGCGCGTCACCAGCATCGTCATCACTACACCCATCGCATTTGCCAGCAGCTGGTTCTTCCCCTTGGACTGCTGGAACAAATCTAGCCTGCCTGCCTGCCTCTGTTTCCGAATGTCGGTTAAGGCGGTAACAGCTGGTTCCGGCAAGGAGAACAATGGAAGAGGAAAACAAAGACAGCCACCAGACCACCCCGGACAGACGGGAGAGACACGCCGATGAGGAGGAGGACAAGTAGGGAGAAGAGAGAGAGGCCAGGAGGTATGAAGCACTGTGTAAGAACGCTGCAGCCCAATAGTCTGGCCGCCGAGTCAGAAAAACCGTCATTAAACAGAGCCGCTGGACACGGCGGCTTGAAATACTGGCAAGGAAAGACAAGGCCAAAAGGAGGACATGAGGGAACGGGATGCAGATTGGCATGACCTGAGAAAACGAGTGCTGAACTCCATGCCTCCCCCCCCCGTTCCCCCCCCCCCCCCCCCAACACCGCCCCCTCGTGCGCGCTCCCGCTCCAGAACGGGGGCAAAAGGCTCCCAAAAGGCTCGGCCTCGGCCGAGTGCCAACACATGCCGAGCGCGCGGCACCGTCAGTGGTGCTCAGCGTGGCCGGCTTCCAGATGAAGCCGTGCTCGGCAAGGACTCATGCTGCTCCGCCTCCTCCTCCTCGCTTCTTGTCCCCATGGAGGGAAGTGCTGCCTCGCCTCCAGAGTCCAGAAGGGGGCTTTCACCCCCCAAGTCGGGCACCAGTTCTCCTGAACTGGGGTGAGTTCTGCTTGGGGTGTGAGTGACTTGAAGGTTTTTTTGGTCAGTCCGAGAAAAGCTGCGGCAACATGGCGAGCTTCAGTTCCTTGAGATCGTTGGCCTGCCGGTAGAGCATGTGGAGCATCTGCAAGTTCTCGATTGGCACCTCTTCCAGGACCAGACAGCACATGCCGTCGACCCACTCAGCCTGAGTTATCATTCCAGACCCGTCGGCATCGAGGAGCTTGAAGAAGTCTTCGAGCTTGTAGGACTTCAGCGCGTGCAGCACCTCGGCGGGCAGGGGCGTCTGCGGCGCGCCCATCCTCGCCGAGTCCAGGTCTGCCCAGCGAATGTACCCTTGGCCTTCCGAGTCGAACTGCCTGAAGAGGCTGTTCAGGATCGGTATCAGCGCCTCCAGCCTTCCCCGGAGTTGCACGCGCTCCAGCTCCGTGTCGCGGCTGGAGACCTTGATGACGTGGTTCACAATCACGGCCGTGATCAAGTTCATGAGGGCGATCGGCACCACGAGCAGGATCGGCAGGAAGTAGAAGAGCAGCCATGGCTTCGTGCGAAGCAGAGGATGGTAGATCTGAGCGGCCCCGTCGCTGTGTACGAACTCCAGAAGCGTGAGCATCAGCACCGGGATCGACCTGAAGCGATCCTCCACGATGTGCCCAACAACGGGGTCGGCGAGCAGCTCCTCGTCCACGCCGATGACCGCCACCCCAGCGCACGCGAACACGTAGATGGCTCCGAAAAGCAACATCCCAGCCGCCGTCACGGATCCGTGTGCCCGCACCAGGCTTTGCACCAGCTTCCAGAGTGGCTGCATGAACTTCAGGAAGCGGAGGGTCCGCACCAGGCGAAGCAGGCGCAGAACTCTGACAACCAACACTTTGTCCAGCATGCCGATGGCTCCCCTCGTTAGCAGCAACGGCTCCAACACCCATACCGTCACCACGCCAACCATGACGAGGACGATGTCCATCTGGAACCACGAGTTCTGGAGGCACTCCTGCCAGTCAGCCAGCAAGCGAATCGAAAGCTCTAAGATATAAGCAACCAGAAAACAAGTCTCCATTACTTGGTACGCCAGAGAGGTAGGAATCGTTTTGTCGACGCTCTCCTGGATCTCCAGCCCAATCACCACGCAGTTTGTGAAAATGATGGCAGACATCAGGTAATCGAACCACGGGTTCTGGGCGACACGGAGGCAAATGCGCTGCAAGAGCGGAGGATGCCGAAACCGAATGGCTTGTGCCACGTCTTTCAACGACAACGTGGGGCCTGTCTGGTTCAGGCCTCGATCCTGCACGGCGAGGTCGGTAAGCTCGGCAGTGGTCCTCACCTCCTTCTTGATTGGCGTGTCGGTGCCCTCCGACAGTGCTTGGCTGCGCGATTGCGTGCTATTATGATGGATCATCCTGTTGGCGAACATACGCTTCTTCCGCTCACCCCTTGTAGATTCCTCTGGCTGGCGCCAGCCAGAGACAACACCTTTGGAAGTCCTTGGCAGCCCTCCGAACACGGTCTCACGTTGCGAGGGGTACCCGTCTGGTACGGCAGTGGATACGTAAGACCTCTGCGTCTGGATGCGGGGGGCGCAGGTGCCCAGCTCGAGGGCCTCGACGAGGCCCTCGACCAAAGCGTCGTGACGCCTCTTTGTCTCGTTCCTCTCGGACTCGAGCTCACTCGCGAGCCAATCAACCGCCTCGGCGGCCTTCGCGAGCGTTGTATCTTGACCAGGCTCGCGGTCCGGAACTCGCTGCATCGGGCGAGAACGTGCGCACGAGACCAGAAAGTCAATGGGCACGCTTCGGTGAGCATGGGCCACGCAGCTCTTGAGCATGGCTACGGATGCCCCTCCGAGCTCCTCACGCTGAGGACTTGGACATGTTTTGTTTACGGGGCCCATGCCCAAGATTTCTGGAATCGTTGGGCGCTCTTGGGCGCTCCCTTATCTTGGGCCGTGCCTTCTTCGAGGTCTCCGGAGCGTGGTTCGAGATCCAAATTTGCAATACTCCCTCAGATGGTCCTATGGAGCCCTCGGGGGGCTAGCTCGAGAGCCTCGTGGGCCGTCTTGGAGAACCCCAGGGCCAATCCAATAAACAAGCCGACACAATTGAACATCTGGGCTGTCGGATTGATTTTCGCACGCTCGGCCCTGGGTCTCGAGAATGTCCAAGACGGCCCAAGACAAGAGGCCCCCAAGAGAGCACGAAGAAAGCCCCAAATCCCCCAAGAGGGGCTCCAGAGCCCCCCAAGAGGCCTCCAAGAGGCTCCTAAGAGGCCCCCAGAAGTGACACCAAGATGGCTCCCGACATCGCCTCCCTGGGGCCTCGAAGAGGTCCCTCGGAGGCCCCCAGGAGTTTTCGAATCGTGCCCTAGTAGGTTTTCCAAGAGACCCGCAGGGACCTGTACGAGGCCTCCGCGTGGTGGCGGAACGGATCGAGGGCCACTGCGTTGTCCAACGTGTTTCTTCACCCGCACCTGTCGTGTGACCACCATGGGGCCGCGTGGGCACCAGGAGGTGGAGGCTGAAGACGCCAGGCTCAAGAAGCGGCATGGCACGGCCCGGCGCAGCTCTCAAGGTTGAGAAAAAGACTTTACGCCGCGCTGTTGCCGCCGCCGCCCAGCCGTGGCTCCGTGGAGTCGCGGCAGACGAAAATTCGCGAGCGAAGAACGGTATGCAATACTTTTGTCCCGTCACCAGGAGCGCCTGCCTCAAGGCGGCTGGACAAGTTACACCTTGACGTGCCACCGTAAGGGTATAAACTGTCCAGCCGCCCTGGGACAGGCGCCCCCGACAGTGCAAACGATCATCTTTTACCGTTCTTCGCCCGTTAAGAAAGCAAGCTGCCGTGGCAAGAGCATGATGGCAAATTGCTAGAAGCATGTGTCGGGCCGGGCGAAAGTGGGGATAGCAAAGGGGGGGGAAATCAGCTCACGTAGCTGATTTTCCCGGCGCCTCGCGGCGCCGGAGGCGGCTATGTATCAAAGAATGGGCCCCTCGGTGGGGCCGAAACCAGCTGCATGCAGCAGATCTCGCAACCCCCCCTTCCCCAATCCCTCCCTTTCGCCCGGCCCGAACGTGGTGACAGAGGCGGCAGACAAGGGCAACCTCGCGGCGGTCCGCGCGGGGCCTCGGGCTGGCGCTGGACTTCAGGCACGCCTCTTGCCGAGATGACCATGGAGGGGCGAAGACTGGAGCTTGGGCGGGGTGAGGACAGGAGGATGGACGAGCGCGCTCCACTACTCGCAAATGACCTGGATCCGCCGCGGGGGATCTACGATACACGACATCGGAGCAGACATGTTTTTTGTTTTCTGACGTTTTTCGAGTAGGCACTTTGCGAGTAGTGGAACGCGCTCGGAGAGACCAGGAGGAGGAGGAGGAGGAGGAGGAGGAGGAGGAGTCGCTCCCGTTGTTCCGGGATGCCCTCCCACGGTCCTGATGCCGGCCAGCTCATCCAATTCGATGTAGCCGGCGGTCTCGTAGGAGTACGTGCATTCACTGCTGCCGTTGGCCTTGCGCGCGTGCTGGAATTCATGCGTGGCAGCACCGCAGCGGGAGACAACGGGAGGCTCACCAGTGGGCGGTCGATCGTGGAGCGCACGCAGGCCCTCCTTCGGTAGATTGTGCAAGAAGCTTCTGCCCCATCTTCGTGCCCGCGCGAGGGTGAACAAAGATCGGATCGAGCCTGGCTTGCACGCAATGGACAGGAGTCCTCCAGAAAACCACCGCAAGGAACCCAACCCTGAATCCCACCAGCCCTTTGGGCGTCGGTGGTTTAGGGCGTTTCCCAAGAGCGCCCAAGAGCGCTCCAAGAACGCTCCAAGATGGGTCCAGGAGGCGATTTTGGGTGCTCCTGAGGGGGGGGGGCGTAATTGAGGAACCACCCTTCATTGACCGATCTCCTCCAAGATGGCCCCAAGAAGAGCCCAGGAGGCCCCAAGCGGTCCCAAAATCAAAAGGCCCCCAAGAGGCCCCTAGGAGGCTCCACAGAAGACCCTAAGCGGCCCCAAGAGGCCCCCCCCGAGGCACCCAAGACCCCGAAACGCCCCCCAGGATCGCCAAGAGACCCCCAAAACGTCCCAAGAGGCCACCAAGAATCGCCCAAGAGATACCCCACGAGGCTCCGAGAGGCATCCAAGACACCTCTGGCCCTTGTGCTTGCCCTCCTCCTTCTCCTGTTCCTCCTTCCTGCTCCTACTCCTTCTCTTCCTCCTGGTCCTCCTCCGCCTCCTCCTCATCCTATTCATCCTCCTTCTTCCCACTCCCTCATCCATCCATCCATCCACCTCCTCCTTCTCCTCCTCACTCATTTGCACGATTTGGCCGTCCTCCTCTTTGCTGCCGCACTTCCCTGATCACCTCAACTCGCCTGGACATCGTTTCTGGATGGGCTGGTGGGGATACGCGAAGCGTCTAGAATTCAGCCAAGGTTCCTTGGTCCAGGGTTGGGTCTTTCGCACTTCGGCTGCAAACGTAGAAACCCATGGTAGCCTGGCCCAAAGGGTTTCTTGATCGCTTCCGTAAAACAACTCGACGCCGAGAAACCCAGGGCGATCGAGCATGCAAGCTGCGGGACCTCCACAAACAGAGCGGTGACGACTTGGCCCAGCCCGAGACAATTGCGCCCATGTGATTTTGCCTGGGGCGGCCGAAAAGAACCCACGGGACCCACAATGCAAGTCAATTTCTTGTCGGGCATGCGCCCCGAATGCGCCAGCACGCTCATGTCAGACTGAAGAGACCCAGCATATGCATGCGTCGCGGAGGAGCAGCCACGGTGGCAGGGGACGAACACCGGAGGTACCCTGAATGCCTGCCAAATTCGGGCGCGCGCGCGAGCCCCCCAAATTCGACAGCGCCCCCATGCCAGACTGACGAGCCCAGCAGGTGGATACGTCTCACTAGAGGCACAACCAGGGTAGCGGGCGAAGGAACCCAAGGTACCGTGAATACCTGCCAGTCTCTTGGGCTTCCAGGCGCCGCTACGACTGTTGGCTCTAATCGCAGAGATCCAATAGGCCACGAGCGCGCCGAAGGGTTAGGCCCTTGGTAGGCCATAGGTGTGCCACGGGCAGGCCATGGGCATGCCATAGGTGAGTGGGCAAGCCGAGGGAAGGCCACGGGGTGACCAGGGGAAAACCACGGACAGGCTATGGGTAAGCCATGGGCTGACCATGGGTAGGCCATAGAAAAGGCCATGCATGGACCATGGGCAGGCCGCAGGCAGGCCATGGGTAGGCAATCGGTCGGCCATGAGTGGCCCATGGACAGACCATGGGCAAGCCACGAGCAACCCGTGTGCATGCCGTGGGCAAGCTATGGTCACCCGCGTGCGCCCGCGCGCGTGCAGCGTTCTGTGTGGTCCATACAAGCAAACATACACAAGCACCCATGCGAACTTGGAAAGCAAACTGGTCACCGCTAAGGGTCCGCTTTAATTTCCTCGGCAACACGGCGATTTATTTTACGGGACAATGCGCAGAGCTCGACACGGACAGGCGCGCATGGAGCGTCTTGTATGGTGCAACTTAAAACACACACGCCAGAAACCATATAAACGCGAAGATGCAACTGGTCACCGCTAGGGGCTCAGTAGAACTTCCGAGCAAGATGGCGACGTTATTAGCTTAGACCAGATGCGGTACGCTCCACACGCGTTCTCGCGCGTGGAGCGCTCTGAATTGTCCATGGCGGGAAACACACCAGAATTCAGATTCACATGGAAATTATCCCAGTGCGACCCGACCCAGGAGTTGGAGCCCCTACGAAAGCAGCATTCGTAGTAACAGTAAAGCTAAGCTAAAGCTGAGGTAAAGCTAAGCTAAAGCTAAGCGAATGCTAAGCAAAAGTTAAGCTTGAGCTAAGCTCAAGCTAAGCTCAAGCTACGCTAAATCTAAGGTGAAGCTAATCTAAAGCTATTCTAAAGCAAATCTAAAGCTAGGTTAAAAGCTAGGCTAAAGCTAGGCTAAAGCTAAGCTACAGCTAAACTAAAGCTAAGCTAAAGCTAAGCTGCAGCTAAGCTAAAGCTGAGCTCAAGCTAAAACTAAGTTAAAGCTAAGCTAATGCTAAGCTAAAGCTAAGCTAAAGCTAAGCTAAAGCTAAGCTAAAGCTAAGCTAAAGCTAAGCTAAAGCTGAGCTGGAGCTAAGCTAGAGCTAAGCTAACGTTAAGCTAAAACTAAGCTGAAGCTAAGCTAAAGCTAAGCTAAAGCTAAGCTACAGCTAAGGTAAAGCTAAGCTAAAGCTAAGCTAAAACTAAGCTAAAGCTAAGCTAAAGCTAAAGCTAAAGCTAAAGCTAAAGCTAAAGCTAAAGCTAAAACTCCCAGTGGACTGGGGGAACCGCTCTCAGAGGACTGGGGGAAACGCCCGGGGCGGGTTGCACTGCCCGGCCCCTTTAAGCTACAGAGTAAGAGCACTTCTAGGCAGAGCCTAGGTAGGGAATCAAACCGGTCACCTCTGTTGACTTACTTTCGATTTCGAAAGCGGCATGGCGACCTCAATTTTGGATAACTTGCTACGCTCCACGCGCGAGCCCGCGCGCGTGGACCATTCTGTGTTGCACACCAGAAACAACATTCACAATAACCCATGTAAACATTCTGTTCCTTCGCAGCGCAAGTCAGCACACGCCGCTGATGTGTCAGCATGAAACAGACTTTTACGGTTGGGCAATCATACTTACACGGTAGGCCAGAGGGGGAAATAGCGCTGCTCAGGAGCAACCCAACAAAGGCCAGTGCGACAAATAATAAGAAAGTGACGTCTCTAGCTGCACTGTAATCGCAGCTGAACGAGACACGCAGTCCTCACGCGCTCATTACGAGGTTTGCGTAGATGCCGTCAGTGGCTGCGTTAGCCAGCAATTCCTCGTGTGTACCCTTTTCCACGATGCGCCCTCGATTGACAACGACTATCATGTCGGCGTTTCTGATTGTTGAGAGCCGGTGCGCGATCGCGATCGTTGTGCGTTTCTGCTTCGTCATGATACCGTCGAGCGCCGACTGAACGATGCGTTCCGATTCGTTGTCGAGCGCGGACGTCGCCTCGTCAAGCACCAAGATGGCAGGCTTCTTGATGAGCGCGCGTGCTACCGCGATGCGCTGCTTCTGGCCGCCCGACAGCTTGCCCCCCCGGAGGCCGACATTTGCAAGATAGCCTTCGGCGAGGTTCTGCGTGGCGAACACGTGCGCGTTGGTCATGCTCGCAACTTCCACGATCTCTGCCATGGTCACCTTTCCAGCTGCAGCTGGCTTGCCGTGAGCAATATTCTCGGCGACCGTGCCCTGGAAGACTGCCGGCCCCTGGGATACCAGCCCGAGCTGCGAGCGAAGCCAGCGCGCGTTGAGCGTCCTGATGTCGACGCCGTCCAGGCACACGACGCCCTCGATCGGGTCGTAGAAGCGCTCGATCAGCTGGATGATCGTCGACTTGCCCGAGCCCGACGGGCCGCGCAGCGCAGCCGTCTTACCCGCGGGCGCGACCATCGAGTACCCATTGCGCACGAGATGCTCGGGCGCCGACGGGTACGCGAACATGACATCCTTCAGCTCGACCTTGCCCGCCACCGTCGGCAGCGTCGTGCCTGACTCGTCGAGGCTGTCTATGAGCGGCACCCGGTCGAAGACCTTGAACGGGCGCGCCGCCGCGGTCGCCGCCTGCGGCAAGTCGTTCAGCGAGCTTGCCTTGATCATCGGAACCATCGCGCCCATCACCGCCACGAGCGGTGCAATGGCCTTGGTGAAGGTGAGAATCCCCTGATTGGCAAGCCACACAGAGTAATACAATATGAGAGCTACAGCAACCAACATCACCAAGTTCGCAAAGCCGAGGAGGAAGCCACAGAGGCACGCACTCCTCTTCTGAATCGACGAACCGGTGGAGGAATTCGAGGTGTACCCATCGTAGAAGCGGTGCTCCAGGTTGAACGAGGCGACAGTGCGAATGCCGGTCACCGCCTCACCAACGATGTTGTTGGCGGAGGCTTGCGCCATTGCAATCTTCGGCTTGCTCTCATCGCCCTTCTTCATGCTCTCGGTGTCGCCGCCCATCAGGAAGGCCTGCTGCAGCGGAATCGTCGCGCCCATGATGACGATCATGCCGATCCACGCGAGCAACAAACGCCAGTCCGGATGGAGCACGACGATAACCAGAAGCACAGTGACCCCGCCGATGAGCTGTGCAACGAGGTCGAAGGACTCGGCCGTGATGGTCTTGACCATGTCGACCTTCTCTGCGAGGAAGGCCGTGAGCTCGGTTGCCGAATTCTCCTCGAGGTCGAAGAACCCGATCTCCTGCCGCATGAACGCGGTGATGCCGCGCGAGCGCAGCTCGGCGGTGAGCGACGAGCCAACCAGGCCGTTGAAGAAGCCCGAGAGCGTGAACGACGGGGTCATCGCGACCGTGTAGAGCCCGAGCCGCATCGAGAGCCGCACAGCGCCCTTGCGCATGCGGCCAGGATCCGTCTCCAGCACGACGTTCATCACGACGACCATCTCGTAGAAGGCGCACGTCGAGAGCGCCGCCGCGCCGCCCGAGAAGACGACCATCAGAAGCAAGGGCGCCCACTGGTCGCCCTGCGTCCGCACGACCCGGAGGACGGGCGTCTTCTCCGCGTTGGCCTTGCTGGCCTCGCCGCCGCCGTCGCCGTCCTCCACCGCGGCGGCCGCCGCTGGCCCTGGCGCCTCAGAGACGCCCACCGCGGCAGGGCTCGCCGCCGAGAGCGCATCTGCGGGGCCCAGCTCCGCCGGGGAGGACGCGGCATTCATCCGCCCCTTGTCCTGGGCAAGGAGCGCCTCCTGCTTCTCGGAGAGGCTTCGGAAGAGGCCGTCGGGAATCGCCATCAGAGAGTCGTGCGTGTCCTGCTCGACCACTGCGCCCTCCCGCAACGCGGCGATTTGGTCGGCGTTCCAGATCGTCGAGAGCCGGTGCGTGATCGCGATCGTCGTGCGCTTCTGCTTCGTCATGATATTATCGAGCGCCGCCTGGGCGACCTTCTCGGACTTGTTGTCGAGCGCGGACGTCGCCTCGTCAAGCAGCAAGATCGCTGGCTTCTTGATGAGCGCGCGCGCTATCGCGATGCGCTGTTTCTGCCCGTCCGATTGCTTGCTGCCGCCCTGGCCAACCTGTGTCGCGTACCCCTCGTCGAGGTTTGCGCTGATGAACTCGTGCGCGTTGGCCATGGTCGCGGCCTCTGCAATCTCTTCTTTCGTCGCCTCCCCCGCGAGTTTGCCGTGTGCAATGTTCTCGGCGACTGTGCCCTGGAAGAGTGCTGGCTCTTGGGAGACCAGCCTGATCTGCGAGCGATGCCAGCGCGCGTTGAGCATCTTGACGTCGACGCCGTCCAAGCACACGACGCCCTCGACCGGGTCGTAGAAGGGCTCGATCAGCTGGATGATCGTCGACTTGCCCGAGCCCGACGGGCCGCGTAACGCCGCCGTCGAACCAGCCGGAATGTGCAGCGAGTGCCCGCTGCATACGAAATGCTCGGGCGCCGACGGGTGCGCAAACTTGACCTCCTTCAGCTCGACCTCTCCGTTCACCTTCGCCAGCCTCTCGCCCTCCTCGCTGAAGGAGTCGATGGTGGGGGCGCGGTTGATGATCTTGAAGACCTTAGCCGCGGCCTGTCGCGCAACCTGCAACTTTCCGAACGGCTCGCCGGCCATGCCGAAGCCCTCGACCATCATCGTAACAGCAAAGATGGCGATGAGGATGTTGGTGCCGCCCCACTCGCAGTTGTAATAATAATCATTGTCCGACAGGTATGGCCCCGGGGCGTAGCTTGCGTCTGTTACGTACTCATCGAAACTATCCTTGCTGCTGAAGCCCAGGGCCTCCAGGCCCGCCTCATCGATGGAGAGGTAGTTGGCGAGAGCGCACGACATGAAGAACGGCGTGTCGCAGGGCGAGTCGCCGGTGCCAGCGCACGCGCCCGTCGTGCCGTCGCCGCAGTAGTGGTAGGTCCCGTTCGAGTCCGGCACCACCAGCGGGAACTCCGACTGCTCAACCTCGCTGGCGAGCTGGAAGGCGCCGAAGACGATCGCGACAATCATCATCACAAGGTAGGGCGCGAGAGCGAGGCCAGCGAACATCATGAACATCATCGTGGCGGTCACAGTGACCTTCCAGACGCCATGCAGCGAGGAGGCGCACCGTTTCTCGTACTCCCTCTCGATGCCGAGGGAGGTGATCGTGCGCATCGAGAAGAGGCACTCGGTTGCAATACCACCCGCGCTGGCATAAGCATTCCCGACCAATTTCGAGCCGTTCTCGGCGAAACACATCATCGCCATCCCGGCGCATGCCAGCAGGGGCACGGCGGCGATGGTGACACCCGCCACGGCTGGATGCCCGTACTGGGGGAGAAATGCCAGGACCATCGCGCCGATGCCGTAGCCCAGCCCCATGAAGACCATCGGCAAGCTCTTGAAGCCTTTCTGCACCTTGACCATCGACTCCGCAAATCGGGTCGCGAGCTCTTCGGGGTGGCTCGTGTCGTACCAGCCGGCGTCCTGCCGCAGCACCGCCTTGAGGTACGACGACTTGTACTGGAGCACCTGCTGTGACGTCACCGTGTCGATGCCCCAATTCGAGATCCACATTCCCAGGAACGAGGCCAGGCCGAGGACGACCATGATGTACAGCATCTCGAGCATGACATCGCCGGAAACCTGCACGCCACCGCTATCGCTGGCGCTGAGCTGCTTGAAGAGCGCGGAGAAGGCGACAGGCATCCCAGGCTGCGCGACGCCAGACGAAGCCGAGCCGACGAACGCGAGCGCCACCAGGACCTTCTCCGACCCCTTGAGGAATCCCACCAGCCCTCTGGGCGTAGGTGGTCTAGAACAGATCCTCTTCCACCCCTCCCTCTTCCCCCTTGGGGAGGGGTTTACCCCTCCCCCTACCCCCTCCCCTGAACCTGGACGGAGGGTTTCGCGAGCGGTCGGACGGCTCTTTTGGCCATTGTAGGTGACGATCACTACAAAGAAACGCGTCAACAATTGGAAGGACTCGCGGTAGGAGGCGATGGGCTCGGGCGGAGGCTTTTCGCCCTCGGCGCGCGCACTGCCGGACTCCGCGCCTGGCGAGACCTGCGCCATCGGCCGCGCGAGCCCCGAGGCTGCGACTGCAGCGACAAGGCCACTGCAGCGACGGCCGAAGCACTAGGGCGCAACCGAGAAGCTCGAGCCAACCTTGAGCCAAAATGGCCACGGACAAGAAGAACCCGTGTAAACATGGAATGCACATGCCGATGCCGATGTCGACCCCCTCCCCGGCAGGAGAGGGCCACCGCGCCACGCCCCAACCCCGCCAGTACGGGGCAGGGGAGAAAGAAACCCAACGTAACCTGAATGCCCGTCAATTTCTCGGGCTCTCGGGCGCGCGCCCCGAACTGCGCCGTCTCCACGCCCGCTTGCCAGACTAGCGAGCGCCCGCGACTGGGTGGGCAACGCGGGACGAACACCCCGAGTGGCGGGCGAAGAAACCCAAAGTACCCTGAATGCCCGAAGCTTCTTGGAGGTTCGGGCGCGCGCTCCGAAACGCACCGACGCCCAAGAAACGCATGGTCCACTGCAATCTACAGTTTCTTCGAGGTTGCTACATCCTTCCACACCGAACTCAAACCGCAGAAAACCAGGGCACCCTGACAAATCATTGGATGTTTCTTGTAATGCGGACCCACTGTACTCTGGCATGGCTCCTCCCACCATCGGTGATCGGGTCGTCTGGCGTGTAAATATCAAGCTGATCCATCTTGTGTTTGCGAGCTCGGGCACTCACACTCACAAGGCGTGGTGCTACATCCGCGCGGCGTGTACACCGGCGTGTGGGACACTCACAGGGTTTCCTCTGCGCAGGTTCCAACGCGTTGCTACTGTCAAAACTGATAATAAGGATGCACGAGAAGGATGCAAAGGCCTTGAAATGCCATGCCGACACCTTTCGAGCGGGGCGCGACCAGCGAAAGTGGCCAAGGATGGGCCGAAGGGGAAGGATGCAAGGCTAGCCCTGGAAAGTGCTCATCCTTTAGGGGTGTCAGAACGGCGTGACGATGTGGGCACGTTCGAATGGCAAGTGCTGTCTGGCGGGCTGGTGTACAGTTGTGTCCTCTGCCTCGGCACGCTCAGCCGCATGCACCCCCGGGGGTGGAGGAGGAGGAGGAGGAGGAGGACGAGGAGGAGGAGGAGGAGGAGGAGGAGGAGGAGAAGCGCCTCGCGCTGCCGGGGCGAGGCGCGGCTGCATCAGCGCTCTCGCGGAGCCCCCTTGGAGGAGGGGCGGCTCTGTGGCCCAGAGCGCGACGCGCGACTCGCGACCGGACGCAAGGGTGCCCTTGGGAAGGTTACCCGTCCCTGCTCTGGATCCTCACTGCAACCAAGCCCGCACGCCCTCCAAGTCGGGGATCTTCTGACCCGGGTCAATCCAGACCCGGGTCAGCAGGAAACCAAAAACTGCAATGCAGGAAAAAAAACTGCAACGCAGGTCTTCGCAAACCCGTGTCAGCCAATATGCGCGGCCGCCTCGCGGCCACGAGCGGCTCGCTAACCCAGGTCAGCCAGAGGGGGTCTTCGCAGGATCCTGCAGGATCTGGCGCCCTGGCTGACCCCCGTTTGCACTGACCCCCGTCTCGAGGCTCCCGACCAAGAAGTTTCCTGTGTCTTCCGGGAAGGCTTCGAAAACTTGCGAGAATGCTGGGGGACCTCCGAGCTTTCTGCGAGGGCCCACGCCCCCTCTCATCCCCCCCCCCCCCGCGCGCGCCGCCGAGGCCTCCGGAGGTGTCCAGTGCTTGCATGCTTGTCCCAAGCAGCGCCCCACGACTCCTCCACCGACGTCGAGTCTTGCTCGTGCCGTCCCCCCGCCACTTCCACATCTTCCTCCTCCTTCTGCTCCTTCTCCTCCACCTCCTCCTCCTCCTCCTCCTCTCTTTGCCTCCCCCCTCCTCCTCCTCCTCCTCCTCCTCCTCCTCCTCCTCCTCCTCCTCCTCTTCCCCGTCCTCCTCCTCCTCCTCCTCCTCCTCCTCCTCCTCCCCCTCCTCCCCCACGCAGATCAGGGGGGCCTCCCTAAGCAACTGCGTCCTTATCGCTGAACTCCCTGGAATGCCGACGCTCACGGCCGGAAACCTTTTGCACGGCGTATCGCGGCGGCGGCCCTGGCGACACACATCATGCCTTGCGAATGGATAGCGTGTCGCTCCACTCCGTGTGGCGGGAGGCTGGGAACAACTCGGGATAACGACGGTGTGAACTGGGGGTAGGTCGGGCGTGTCCCCCCCTACAGGCGGATTTTCGAGGAACAAATAAAACAAATCAGCAACATACACCAAAACTGCCAAACAATTTTTAGAATCGTCCCCACATTATGTTTGTGGACTATTTTTGAAGATTCCTCCCGTAGAGGAACACGCCCGACTTAAGACTGGGGACGTGAACAGCGTGTCGGGTCTAAGCGTGGCGGGCCAGAGCCGGCGGACCGACACGCTCAGCCAGAGTTCCCGACCACAGTCGCCGTTTCTCGGACCCCCTCCACCGGGTCCTTCCTTTGGGAGCAAGCTGCGCTGCACCGCACTCTGTGCAGGTCGTGCGCTGGTTCCCCTTCTCTCAGCATTGCCCTTCGCGCTGATATTTGTCCCAACCATCCTGTGGTATTGGGTCCTCGTTTTGAGCAGAGAGCGCCTCGCGCCTCCTTCCCTCCCGCTGCCCTCCCCCTTCTCCCATCCCTGCTCCTGCCCTCCGCATGTCCACATCACCATCATCATCGTCAGCGTCGTAGTCGTAGCCATTGTCGTCATCATCATCAGCAGCATCAATATCAACACCACCATCATCACCACTGCCATCCTCATCATCAGCAGCATCACCATCACATCAGCATCATCGTCTTCATCATCTTAATCATATTGCTCATCATTATGAGCATCGCCATCAGCCTCATCCTCAGCATGAGCATCGTTACCAGTATCAGCATCAGCATCATCGTCATGATCAGCATCACCATCATCATCAGTATTAACATCACCATCACCATCACCATCAACATCAGCATCAGCATCAACATCATCATCATCATCAGCATCATCATCAGCACCATCCTCCTCCCCATCATCACCATCAGCACCAATCAACAACGTCAGCGTCGTCGTCATCGTCACATCCATCAACCTTTCCTTCACCATCGTCATCACTTACAACATTACCACCATCGTCATCGTCTGCGTCACAACCATCATCAACATTAGCATCGTCATCATCACCGTCACCATCATCGACCCTCGGCCGCCACGCCCATGTGGGCACACCCCTCACACGCTTCGCGGCCCCTACCTAAGGCCCCAGTGGCCAGGCTCGCACGCCTGCTCCACACCATGTCGGCGCACCCCTCACACGCTTCGAGGCCCGATGTGGAGCTCCCCCTTGACAACTCCATTGGCTAGGTTCGCAAGCCCTCTGCACACCATGTCGGCGCACCCCGCACACATACCGCGGCCCCACAGGGAGCTCCACCTAAGGACCCAGTGCCAGGGCCCGCATGCATTCTCAACACCATACAGGCGCCCCCCCCCCACACGTTTCGTCACACCACATCATGGAGCTCCACCTGAGGTCCCAATGGCTAGGTTCGCATGCCCTCTTAACACACTGTCGGCCCACCCCTCACCCGCTTCGTGGCCTCAGAGGCAGCTCCACACGAGGTCTCAATACCAGGCCTAACCCGCCATTTCCACATCATGTCGGCGCACCCCGCATACTTGTCGCGGCCCCACAGGGAGCTCTATCTGAGGCCCCAATGCCAAGGCCCGCATGCCGTTTCCACGCCGTGCTGGCGCACCCCGCACACGGTTCGTGGCCCGATAAGGAGCTTTGCCTAATGTGTCGATGCCAGGGCCCGCGTGGGAGGAATAGGAGGAGGAGGAGGAGGAGGAGGACGAGGAGGAGGAGAAGGAGGCCCCATACAAAGCTCCACCAGAAGCACCAACGTCAAGTCCCGCCCGTCTGCCCCCCACCATTTCGGCACACCGACCTCACACGTTTCGCGGCCCCAAAGGGGGGCTCCGTTGACGGCGATGCTCACAACTACGGTACTCACAACTGGGTCCGTCGCCACGCCACTTTGTCCTCCTCTTCCTCCTCTTCTGTCTTCTCATCCTACGTTTTCTCAGCCGCCCCCACCCTCGTCCTCATCCTCTTCTACGTCTCCTGCCATTCCTCCTCCTTCATCTTCTCCTCCCTCTCGTTGTCGTCAACCCACTCGTAAAGACTTGCAATGCCCATGAGCCACCATAAGCCAAACTAGACCACCCCCAAATCACTCAAGCCCTTCTCCTCCTCCTGCTGCAACTCCGCCTGCTCTTCTTCCGCCTTACATCGCTCTCCCTCCTCCTCCTCTCGACCTCTTCTTTATCATCGTCCTCCATTCGTCCTCGTCTCGTCCTCTTCTCGCCATCCTCCTCCCTCCTCCTGCTGCCCCTGCTCCCCAACCATCCTCTCATATTTTTGGAATAACGCCACCGCCAGCGAACTCTTGACATCAACACATGTGGACCCCACCACCTCGCCATACTCCTTGTCATTCGTCCCCCTCCTCCCCATTCACGACCCCCCCTTGCGTAGGGCTCGGTCGAAACTGCATATAGACCCAGGCCCCCTTGAATCTGTTTACCCCATCCTTCCTCCTCCGCATCCTGTTCCCTCCTCCTCCTGTCTATTCGCCTCTTCGTTTTCCCTCTCGTCCCTCCTCCTCCTCCTCCTCCTCCTCCTCCTCCTCCACCTCCTCCATACCCTCCTCCACCACTCCCTCCTCATCGCTATAATTATCCTTGGCCCCCTTTCTCCATTGTTCTACTCCCCCTCTTCCTCTGCATCCATCCTCCTTGTCCTGTTCCTCGTCCTTACCCACCTCCCCACCTCACTCCATCCTCCTCGTTCTTCCCTCCTCCTTTCTCCTCCTTCCCCCTGCGCCTTCCACCTCCTCCCCGACCGCCTCCTCTTCCTCCTCGCTATTTCCCTGGCTGCACGAGAAGCTGGTGGGGGTCGCTGTCTGGTGACCCTGGGGGGGGGGGGGGGGGGGGGGGGGGGGGGGGGGGAGGGCCGGCGGGACCGCCTGTGGGAGTCTCCCGCCGGCGGGCCGCCCTGGGGGTCTGGGCTCCGGGTGGTCGCGAGGGGGCCGTCAGATTCTGGCAGTACAGGAGGATGATGATGATGATGATGATGATGATGATGAGGAGGAGGAGGAGGAGGAGGAGGAGGATGAGGAGGAGGAGGAGGAGGAGGAGGAGTGAACGACGACTGATGGAGGAGGAGGAGGAAGAGGAGGAGGAGGAGGCGGAGGGAGGAGGAGGAAGGAGGAGGAGGAGGAAGGAGGAGGAGGCGGAGGAGGAGGAGGAGGAGGAGGAGGAGGAGGAGGAGGAGGAGGAGTGGGCAGGGCCCTCAATAGGGTCACGGTGGAGGCCAGTCCACGACAAACCTTCCCCAAGAGACCCAACCCTGAGACCCCTGGGCGTGCATTGACTTCTGGTGTGGGGGCGTCGCGCTCTCCTCAGCAGTGCCACACGCCGCGCAGATTCGTCTCAAACCTCTGTGACACGTTCAGATACGGAGGGCTGTTCCTCCTCCTCCTCCTCCTCCTCCTCCTCCTCCTCTCCTCCTCCTCATCCTCCGCCTCCTCCTCCTCCTTCCTCCTCCTCCCTCCGCCTCCTCCTCCT